TGCAAAGCTGTCAAAAGCAGAATAAGAATGCAGAGAAGTATATGCAAACAAGGTGATCCGTTTCATCATTTCCCAGCATAAGAGGGGGCCCCTTCAGAACCATAGTACAATAAAAATCATTATAAAATTCTAAGCTGTACTTTAGGAGAGAAGAAAAAGAGATAAAGAGCATAGGCAAAGTTCAGGTTAGGCATAGGCAGTAGGACAGCAGAAAAGATATACAAAAAAGAAGACACAATTCAGCATTGTTCAAAACTACACAGCATGGACAGTTACTAAAAATGGAAAAGATGCCAAGAAATTTTGTCAAACTACCCAGCAAGCGTGGATCAAAAAGAAAACCAAAGTTTGAAATATGGTTAGGCGCCAAAGACCAATAGCAAAAGGACGAAATAATACAAGAAAAGAGACTGATTGAGCCAAGCACCAATATCACCCATATAACTCAGAACCGAACCAATAGAGGAATAAGCTCATACCTGTCTAAAATACACAAGTTATCAAAACACAATCAAACCTCATACCAGTACCATAACCTGAAATACAACCTCAAGCTTCAAAAACTGATAACCTGCTAATGCCTTAACCATACTGTCAAACACAAACCCATTAGCAAAAGTCTCATAAAAACCATAACCTGAAGCCTTGTTAAACCAGTTCAGAATGCAAAAAACACCAAAAAACCAAAACTGAACCAGCATAATCCCACCTCCTGTCAAACATAAACCAAGTTCAAAAAACCTGATATCCTAAAAACGATAACAGCAAAACAGCCTACTGTTAAACTCCAACCTGTTGAAGCTTTATCAGTCCAAAAAGAAAACTTATTCAAACCAATGCAAAAAGCCTCATCCTCAAGAATATACAAACCCATAACCCGAAAATATCACAACCAACCAAAACTTCATACCAGCGCCATGCCTATCCAACTCAAGGCCATAGTATCTCCAGCCTAAGCCCTCAGTAAAACATCATTGGGCAACGAAAACGAGCATACAGCATTCCAGAAGAAGAGAGAAATTTCATTCAGTTCAAGATAATACACAGCATCCAGAAAACAAAAATATCAAAGGCAACCTAGGCCCTCAGACCTCTGAGGTCATCACTGAGCAACGCAAACAAGCATACAGCATCTCAAGCAAATACTCAGGCAACAATTCCAAGAACATACAGATTCCCAAAGGCAACACGAAAGCGGAAGAGATAAAGATATCAAGGCAACACGAGAGAAGGAGAAGCAGAAACAAATCAAGGCAACACATAGTGGAAGAAGGAGATAAAGAATTGAGGAATTAAAGGGTTCTCATTATACATCATCAAAGCCCTAAATATAGCAAAGGAACGAAAATACCAGGAAAGCGTCAAAAGCTCAAAGTTTCGTCACATTTCTCTCCGCCGTTCCGGCCTCCTGAAGCATCACTCCGCCTCTCCTCCATCTCCCAAACGAAGGTAGCCAATCTTTTCCCACTTCTCTTCTCCTTCACCTCATAATCATAAAAACTCAACTTAAAACTCAAATCAAAACATGCAATCTGAAAAAAGGAAGAGATGAAAACGTAACAACAAGAGCTAACCTTAAATCAAAGGCGCTGAGTTCATGTTAGGGAGGGAAGAAAGGCGTTGGAATAATGTTGGTGGCCGGAGATAAGCATTCAGGGAAGCGAAGTGAACGGAGAAGACGAACGCGCCGTCGCTGCCTCGCTAACCCTAACCTTCGCTCTGAACTAACAAAAACCTAACCAAATTCGTTTAAGACCAACATGGGCCTGACCCGTTCCCATTTGTTCTAAGCCCAATTATTTCAGAAACAATGCAAATCAGCATTTTACAATTATTTTTCACTTAACCATTTATATATAATATTAACCCTTTCTTTTATTTTATAAACAATATCCACTTCTTTTTTTTTTTTATAAAACACTAACCCTTTTTTTATTTCATTTTATAAACAATGTTTTTTTTATTATTCGTTGTAAAATATTCACTTAATTAAAAATACATTTTTTTTATCATAAGGTTAAAACATTTTTTAGATAGATATTTTTATAAATTAAATTTGAAAACATTTTCTTTAGATTAATACACATTTGTATATAAAATAACAAAATACTCTTTTTTATACATAATTAAGTTGAAACTTTTTAATTAACATATACATTTGTACATAACAATAGAAATACATTTTTTTTCTCTAATATCAAACTCATAAACATTTGGACTAAAATACTTTCCAATTAAAAATTGAACATTTAATCAAAACACTTTCTTTTTTCATTTGTACATAATTAAACATACAAAAAAATCAAAGATTCATTTAAAATACATTTATCTAGGTCAAACCCTAATACGACTCAATTTCACATTTCGCACTTGTTACACAATTCACATACATATACACTTGTACACTTACACAAATGCATTCACATTGCCCTATACATATTTTTATCTTATATTTGTGCATTCGATATTTACATGTTGATTGCGACATTCGATTTGGTTGTAACTTGTTGGATACTATAAGTCACATCCCCTTGTACATTTATATCCCCACTCCCGGGCACTATTTTGTAATAGCGTAGATTTACATTCCGCAATTTACAGTTTTCCAATTATACCATGATTAGACCTAGGGTTTGTATGTACATAAAATCAAACGCTAGATAACCTAATACAAGACAAACGCATGTAATCAATACACAATCACACTTGCACCCTCTAGGGTAATCCCACATGATGCCTTCCAAAATGGGCCATGCTTGCACGTCGAGTATCTTTGACAAAACAAAATCAAATGATCAAAAGTCCCTCAAAGTGTTGCCTAAATGGAATGATCATAGTCCCTTCGAAATAATTGCCAAAGACGCTTGGCACCATTGCATTCATGGTCCATACGATGACCCACGCCCGTCCCGAATAAACTTCCTAAAAAACAAGATTGCCTATCAATTTCAATGGTAGAACAAAATTGTCAAAGGGGTTAAAACACGACGAAAATCTTTGAGAAAGCTTTAGGGTAGATAAACTCTTAAGTACTTGTCAATTTACAAAGAAAACACTTGCCTAATTTCAAAACCCACTTCACAAACACTTTTAAAAATCAAACTTTTCAAACCCTTGAAACATCTTTTTAAAAGATAAAACACCTTTTGTAAAACATTCGAGTAAAGAATTGTTACAAGGTTAGCCTAGCACAAGGCATCTTTTCAAAACATTTTCAAAACAACACACAAAGCACCATTTCATACAATTGAAAACCAAGGCAAAATTGATCTAAGCAAGTACCTAAGAGCCCATGGATAACCATGGATGAAAAGGGTGCTAATACCTTCCCTTTTCATAACCTACCCCCCGAACCCACGAAATATCTCAAAAGGTTTTTGCTGTGCTTTTTTAACCTTTCCTTTAGGATAAAATAAAAAGTCGGTGGCGACTCTTGCTCAACCGCACAAGTGCGAATACGAACGCAAAATACTAGTCAGTTCTCCCACCGTATCACAGCTACATACAACAACGATTGTATTAAATAACCGTTGTTGTATGTATTTTAATGAAATATAAAAAATGCAGCAGTATAAAAGCAACAATAGCAAGATTCGAACTAAAGACCAAGGGCACTACATACAACAACAGTTGTATTAAATAATAGTTGTTGTATGTCGTTTAATAAAATATAAAAAATACAACAATAGAACAAAAACAACATTAAGATTGAACTCATGACCATGCACGACTTTTTATTACAGTTGGAACTTCCAACCGTGGTGAAAAGTGGCTTAAATATGAAGAAAAAAAAGCGCCTAGTTGAATAGATTCTACCACGGTGGATCCTTTGATGTGGTGACTTGGGTGTTGTTGTTTGTGCATTTTGTAGTAGTGGCAACTGCAAATTCTACGAATGCAAGTTGTGTTACAATAATAGGGATTACTCCCTCTATTTATACTTTTAAGTTAGCTTGCTCTCTAAGCCAAAACCCAAAACACAAAAGCCCAAAATATCTATTTTGTATCTAAGCCGAAATACTATGTTGAGGATACCTCCTCCGACACATTGACTACTAAACAACTCGACACACACACATCAATTTCGACACAACCTTGCTTATATCGAACAACATGCTACTTCGACACAAGAAATTACAACTCAACAGGTGTGTAAACCTAATGATATTAGGCATCGTGTTAAGGCAAAAATAACATGAAAAATGATATTCTTACATGAATATCTTACACTTACACCATATTTCACTGTTCCCCAATACAGTGAATAGTAAAATATTATAATAATAACTTTTTTTTAAAATAATGTATTTTATTTTTTTTTAAAGTTTTTTATGAATAAGGGAGTACATATACAAAATTACGTGATTAACCAACCTCATAATTTTATTAATCAATATTTTAAATTTCATTAACTAACTTTATAACTACTAAAAACCTCGGCGTTTATTAACTAATTTCATAACTTCACTAACCAACATTTTACATTGTATTAACCAACTTTGTTTTAATGCTAAAAATAATTTTTAATATGTGATCGTTGATTAACCAACTTCATCACTTCATTAACAAACTTTCTACATTTCATTAACCAACATTGTTTTCCTGCTAAATTATATTTAATATTTAAGCATTTATTAACCAACTTCATTAACCGATTATTTATATTTCATTAATCAACTTTGTTTTACCATGAAAAATCACTATTCATAAAACATTGTTAACGGTCATTGTTCACACACTGTTCAGGTAACTGTCTAAAAGAAAACATTATTACCATATAAGTATCGTCAATATGTTTTGGTGTAAATATTGGTGTACAATGTAGTATAGAAATAGCATTCCTGATATAACATTCATTACATTCAAATCAACCGAAGGCAGCTTGAGAATCCTAATCATAGTCACACATATTAACCAAAGGTTGAAAATACTGATTATATATATATATATATATATCACAAATTGCAGTTGGTTCTCTCCTCATAACATGATATATCTGACTACCTTGCCAATAAGATTGCATGCACCAGTTTGTTTTGCAGCCTACCAAGATCAAAGTGTGTCGAGTCTTCCACCTATTCAACAATAATTCATATATATCATGTTTGCAGCCTAGCAGTACATGCTCATTAAGTAAGTAAAATTGTCCAAACTCAGATTAATATACCCTAGACTAGGTATTTAATTAACAGACACAGATTAAAATTAATTAAGTAGGTTAAAAGTTAATTAGCTGGCTACTATACCTCTGACTTAATAGTATGAAATATCTTTCCATTGACTTGGTTGGTAACACAGTGAACAACATCACATCCTTCTTCAAGTACTATTATTTTCATTAAATCCGATAAACGCATACGGCAATCCTCGAAACCACTACATATAACAATTTCCACCCCATCTGGAATTAGATTAATGTTGACACACTTCACTAAACTTGAAGGATCTGCAGGTAACTCATTTCCAGTTTCAACCATACTAGAGCTAATAATTTCTTTGAGCTTATCCCTCTTTATTTCGAGTTCTTTAACCTTCTCCTTCAAAATTTGAACATAATTTGCAGCTTCGCCTATGTGATCTGATACTGAACGCTTTCCCTAGAATAATAAGATCATTATTATTAAATGATGATAATTAATAAGAGAAAAACAAAAAAAGTTAATGAAAGACCTTGATGAGGTGAATAGGAAGTGAAGAACGAAGTGATGAACACAAAATAGACATTTGCATCCTCCTTTGCTTTTCAACTTCCCTACGAATGATCTTCTTCTCATCACTGTTCAAAGTAGTTGATATTTTATGCTCTTTCTGATCTTCCGCCATTTTCCTGCGAGATTTTATCCCTTTTAATAATTCTTAATTGTCCCAAATCAGATCTTTGTTTATAGTAGATCCTTGCTTGATTACATGATATATATTTGAAAGGGGTTCCTAATTATTGTGTAGCTGGAAAGAGAAAAAAAACCAATAAAACAACAACCCTACTATTTGGAGAAGAGTATCTTAAAGTTCTTTATATTATTTATTTGAGTATTTTTACTTTTTGTTTAGACCACTGCATCAAACCTAAATGATATTGGTGTCTATAGTGTGTGAATGTTGGAAACTTTAATTAGTGTAAAGAGTTTGATTCCTACTCAATAGTTTGTTTTTTCCTTTTTTTAGACTAAATGTGATTTTGATTTTATCATCAAGTTCTGTGAATGTAGTAAACTTTAATTAGTGTAAATTGTTTGATTCCTGATCAATAGTTTGTTTTCTCTTTTATTAAGACTTAAGACTATATGTGATTTTGATAGAAAATTATGGAGGAAGTTGTTCCATGTAGGTAATTTTATTTTGTGGGACAAGGCTTGGTTCTTATTGTTGTAAAGATTTGAAATTTTATTTTTGAAGGGATAAATATTGGACACGATGTTAGGATAAATGATCTAATTTGTAAACCAGTACGACAACACAATAATAGAAACAGTAACACAATGCAAAAAGAAATAATATAACAAAAAGAATTGGTAATCCAGTTCGGTGAAACCACACCTACGTCTTGAGTGCACTTTACCAAAGAAAGAAAATTTACTTTTTCGAATTAATATATTTAGTCTTATAGGAACACCAACCGAATGATGTTCAATGCCTATTTCTAATCCTAGTGAATTTCTATTTAGGACTCCCCCTAAATATGAGAATCCCTCTCAATTTCTCTCAATCATTAATCCCAAGTTATCAACTTAAACATTAACACAATAATTGTTGAATTTACAACTCAACTATGACAAACCAACAACTATGTCAAGTTACTGAAGCAATAGTGTGGTATATAACAAACAAGATCCAACACTAATCCTTATGATATGAGTGATATCATTAGTGTGGAATACAAGTAACAGAACTCTCAAAAACAATAGCACAAAGAACTTAATCCTAGCTCAATTAAGTCTTCTTAAATAGCAACGCATTCTGGCCTTTTTCTCCTTTAGGTCTCTGAAATAAATTCGCCTAGAATAATAGCTGAATTTGTTGGGTTTGATTTACTCCATAAAAATCTCCAACAAAAGATATGATTTATAATATTTCAAATTCAAATTTAAGTATCTATTTAAATCTAATTTAATCTTCACAACCATCAAACAAATCACACAAACATTGCTAAACAATCTACAACTAATATGATAAAATCTCAATCATAAATTTCACACCTAGCAACATCCATCATGGCCAGTTGATATGGGTCAGATGTTACACTACACACAAGTTGGAACATTGTGTTCTACATATTATACAACAACATCCAAATCAACTCGTTTCATATATCTTCTCTGTAGAGTGGATTTTGGATAGAATAAATTTGAACCAAAACTACAATAACATATGTCTATTGTTAGAGACTAGATATTGTAGTACACATGTTGGAACATTGTGTTCCCCATACGTCTCTTATGCACCAGAAACAACTTGAATATACTCCATGTTGTTTTGCATAATGCAATAAATCCAAAAGTAACAACAATCTCCTTCTTTGGCAAATTTTAGAAAAACAACTCTTCAAGCAAAAAAGCAACTAAGTACTAAAATGTGCCATACTCAGAAAAACATCAACAGCAGAAGAAGAACATCCATTAGAGTATATATCAGCAACAAAACTAGAACATCAACAACAAAAGTCCGTTGCATGGCATTTGCTACACATTAGATGAAGCTTCTATAAAAAACTAATATGTCATCATTCATGATAGTTTAGTCATGCATGCACACACAATTAGTAGTTATTAATCAGAGGTCATAAGCTACTGCTAACACACAAGGATATCAGGGCATACGGTCACACAAGGTTGAGGGTCAGATGCTTCAACATGTGTCCACACAAATCTAGTTAGTACTACTCACAACATTAGTCAGTACTAAGCACAATAGAGATCAACATATATCAACTTCTCACAGTCAGTAGTTAGTAGTCAGAAAAACTACCACCTACACACCATTATCCCCTACACGCCATTACTTCCCCTTTTTGCCACAAGTTGGCAAATAAGCTCCTCACATAAATCATCCAGTCAACATAGAAGTTAGCATGTTAGCATATACATACAATAGATCAGGAGTAAACAAAATTCAACCGATAACACAAATTTTGAACAAGATACTAGAGCATCATGACATCTATTAGTACAAAATCATAAAGACTATCGAGAATTACAAAACCATACAAGACATGCCCAGATATGTAACACTCCAATTTATATTATCTTATTTATTTAGATTAATTTTGAATTTTGTCTGTTTATTTAATTATTATATGGTGATAATTAAATTAATTTGGATGGTAGCAGGGGTATGTGACCTTGAGAGGGGAGTGTAGGGACATCTGTTGGATGTCAAGACAGATGTTGAGACATTTGTTCCTGATACATGATAATATCAAACTCTAAAAATAATTTACAGAATGATAACTAACACAACAGATTGTTAACCTAGTTTGGCGCAATGTCACATACTCTGGAGGCTACCAAGCCACGAAGGAAATTCACTCTGATAATACTAGTCCAAAGCCTAAACAATCCTAGTTTATAACTTCTCGCCTAATCACTATCTTGTGTAACTTCTACCAAGAAATCACCATCTAGATATGAGATCCCCATCTCACTTTCAATCACCACAATGATACCTACAATCACAAACCTTGTGAATATACTTAAAATCAATCACAATCACAATGGTGCTATAAAAGAAAACCTAATAGAAGATTACACTTCAAATCAATATTACTTAGTTAAGACTCTTAACTAAGAATAATACTTGGTGTTGCTTAAAAGCTTCAAACAATAAAAATACTCAACTCATTACCTAAAGGCTTCTTAGTAAGAGCACTATGTCTGGCACAAGTATCAAAAGATACAAGGGTGACTTACAAACACAAGAGACTCTCAAAACCTAAGACTTAGACTTCCCATAATTTTACAATTGTGAAAGTTAAATTACATCAGGTCTAGGTGTTCCTTTTTATAGAATTAAGCTTTCCATGGGTTTCGAATTCTCTACCCAATTATTCCTTGATCCACAAGCTGAGGGTTGCACCAATTATGCAGGAAAATCTCCTTAAATCTTGAAACGAATATTTCAATATTTCTAATGGTCTCAACAACCAAATTTAGAAACTTTGATGTTGTTGGAGATATGATTCTCTTGTTCTAGATTAAATCCTCTTGACCTGCATAAATCATCGAGATATATCCAAAAGATATATCACAAAATCAAATCAAATTTGTCAAGATTTAAACAGCATGTACTGATATTTTGTTACAGGATGTTACGACATGTGGTAGAGCATCTGATATTCTATGTAAGCTCATACTCTGATGTATAAGTTTAATCAAGATGTTATGACCTCTTGCTTAACATCTTTTAGGAACCATATTTTAGAAAAATTACTACCAAATTTTGGCTAAAACAACCTTTTGTACAATAAACCTTGAGAGAGGAATAAAACCACAAGCAAAATATAAGCTACATGCAAACATGAAACTTTGTACATGAGTAAGAATTTAACCTGCTATTTCAGATCTATCCAAGTTATTCCCCTAAAACACATAACCAATTCTTGTCACAAAGAACCAAGTCTCTCCCTCAAGAGGAAGAAGAATATTTTCCAAAAGCACAAGAAAACCAACATGAAATTAGTATTAAAATAATAGAGTTTAACACATTAGAAGAACATGCAACAGAAGCAAAACACATAACTCAGAGCACAAGACACAACAACGAACATAACACAAGATACAAGACATAATAGATAGGATGTTAGAACATCCTATAGGACATCCTACAAACAACAAAAACAGAAGTAGCAGTAGAAGCAGAAACAAGACAGACTCAAAACTCTCATGACAAATAGTCATGCTCCGCCTAAATTGTTGCATAAATCAAGAAACAACACAATACTAGACTCAGTAAAACTTTTCTCCCCATTTTTAGCCAAAAATTGATAAAAATAGAGTAAAAAGAAATTGAAACAAAAGGAACCAAAAAGACACAACCTAAACTGATAAAAAATAAATTGAATAAGAAGACACAAAACTGAAACATGACAAACTAAAATAGAATGCCTTAGTTGAAGCAATAAAAACATACTTATCCAAAGAGACAAAAATAAGACCCAAAAGGAAATTAAAATAAAACACATAAATAAAAGAAGACTCATTGAAAAAAAATATACCCAAACAGAAGACTCATTTTTTATTTATTTTATAATTTCCCTCTTTTATAAAAAAAAGTAGACAACAATTATCCAAACCTGCCTCCTAAGTTAATGAAACTGACTTAATCTTCATCAGCATCTGAATCTGACTAATGTATTTGCACATGGCTATTCTTGAGGGACTTCATCTTGGTTACATATGTTTTCCCTTTCCTGGATGCTTCACCAGATGTTCCAACACTTGTTACAAAGTATGGACACAACCTTCTTTGAACCAGAACTCACTTCCTTCTTGGTTTCCAGCAACTGGATCTTCTTTATATCAGCCTTTTTAGGAGATTTGCTCATGTTGAAATGCAACTTGAAATGATGGTAAGGTAGTAAGGCCTTTAAATACAAGGAGAGTTACCTAGATTGTAACAAAACCTTACTTGTAATGAGAGTCCAGTCAATATGGTCATTTTTGGAAGAAGATAAAATCATCCTTATTAACAGTGCACCACTCACCATATGAGAGAGACACGTTATTGTTCATCTTTCTCTCTTTCCAAGATTTGACTCCTGTAACATGTTGCAACATTTGAAACGACATTATCCATGCCATTGAAAATGTTTCCTTATGAGATTGCAC